TACATTGCTTAACTTGATGATTAACTGGCTTCCATATAACAGGTTTGTTGTACTAACGTATCATTTTCTTTAATTCATCCTTAGTATGTATGCTTAGGCATCGTTGTCTCTAACAAATTCTTATTTCGGTAATATGCTTATTGGGTCGGACGTTATTTATTTCAGTGATGAATCCTTCAGAGTTATAAATGTTGCCATCTCTCGGTTTTTTGGTAAGATTAGGCATCTGTATTTACCGGTGGAAATGATGCTTCGAATAAAGAACAAAATTGGACTTATTCTATCTTCATTTACCAATAACGGCACGGTTATATCTATTCCTCATACGTTAATTGTTCGAGGAGAGACCGTTGCCTTGAATTCAAGAAAATGTAATTAATTTCAGTCTCGGTAACCGCTTATTTTTTCGGGTTGCGGAGGTAGATGTGTCAAGCAGTGTTTCCAGAGTTCCCGATTCTGCGCTATCTTTTGAGCTTTGGCAGAAGATGACCTGAGTCTGAAGCACAGATTTTTCATACATTTGCTCCAAATTATTCTTGGCCATCCTCGGGATCTTTGGCCGGTCGTTTGGGAAAACATAACTAAGCACACTTTAATTTTTCTCCATTAAATGTTTATGAACAACTGAATTTTCTGTTCACACTTGAAAATTGTTTGTTTGAAATTTGTAAACGTTGAAAATTTATTAGCGCAATGAAACTTGGCACTGTGCCATCTGAGATAAATGAAGTTTATAACATTTCAGCCATGGTTAATCAACGTTTAGGCTCTTTGTTTAAAATTCGACAAATGCTAACTCTTTTTGTTCAAATCATCAAAACTTCGCTCTTCCGTCGCTACTGTTTCGTCGAATACGTGGCAAAAGGCCTCTGACGAAAAGTTTTACCGATTGCATTTCGATAGCATCGTCATCTTCTTCCATGACCGCTTTTCCTTTCGGGTCGCGGAGGCGGACGCGTCAGGCAGAGCTTCCAACCTTCCAGACCCTCTGCCGGAGACTGAGCTTCGGCAAAAGACAAATGGAGTCTGGAGCAGACTTATCCCATATATTTGCACCAGGTTAATATTAGCCGTCCCCTGGGACTTCTGCCGGTGGGATTT